AAATCCATCTGGTGTAGTCAGGTTAAAAGGGATACACTCCGGTTGAGGTCATTTAAAGTTTCTTTTTCCTACAAAACTAAAGCGATAAACATTATGAGTTTGCTGGTCTGACAGAACACCAGCAATTCCATTAGACTCATGATGGCAGCATCCTGCCACTCTTGGTTAAGAAAAATCTAATCTAATGGTGTCTTCTGTTTCTCAAAGGGAGACTGTATTTATCTTTTTTTTTTTTATTTGCATACTGCATTTCTGATTAGGCTCCATGGTTGTTTGCTGAATAGCGCTAATAGGAGCATAGTTGGATTTTTGTTTAATCTGAGTCACTTTGAGTGAATCAAACACGCCAGACTAATTTCTCTTGTGCTTAAACACCTTTTTTTAATAGTTTTTACATTTTTTATTTTAATCTTGTGTGAAAATGTACAGCCTACATCAGTTCATCCGTGTCACAGTTTCAGGACAATCACTAAGAGGAAATGTCAATACATGAAATCTCAAATATTTGTTTTAATATTAATGGTAAAGTCCAATGTATCCTTAAAGTAAATATTTAATTGTCTTTTGGGAATGAGGTTTTCAAAGATTAAATCATTAAGGAGGCAGGACTGGCATCTCTTTTGTAATAATTGCCTAAAAAATGGCGTGGGTTGTATAAAATGCTGCAGGAATAAAAACCCAGCCTGGAATGATCTTCAGCTTCACTCTGATCATCTGCTGCCACTTCTTATTCCTCTCTGATCTCTCTTCGTCTTTTTCCCTTCAGCCTTTTCTTTTTTCTTTCTTTTTTTTCTCTTTTTGTTTTTTTTTTTCTGTAGACTCAGACGAAATTGGAACATGCCCACATTCGTCAGCTTGAGCAGAGCCTGCTGCTCGAAAAATCGAGAGCAGAGGCGCTTCAGAAAGAATTAGAGAGGCGAAGGGTAAAAAGCATGAGCCCGCTGCCTGTGCTTACTGTCCTCTGTCTTTCTGCTTTTTTGTCACAAGCTTTTAGAATAAGCTGCACTGCAGTCATCTTGTCTGCCTTTGTGCTCAAGTTTTAATTTAATCTCTAGAAATTTAACTACTGTGTTTTCCAGATTATAGGGTGCACCTCACTATAAGCTGCCGCTCTGCGGTACAAACCGCTGATCTACTGAAGTGTTTCCCACCAAACCTGTAGGGGGAGCTCTACATATACCTCCTGGAGTAGGGAGGAAGAAGAATGCTNGCTCCCGTTAGCTTGTTGGTGTCACCATAGAGATAGGCTTTTTCTCAATCTGTGTACTTGTGCGTTCTCGTGTGTTCGTGAAACATCATCAACCTCAGCCCTTGCATAAGAATAGCAGACTGAGAACGGACAAAGTCCCCCGGATGTTGTTCTAGCCCCTCCCTCTTTACCCAGCATGCATCACAGCAGACTTGTCCGTTCTCCAGACTGACAGCTGTCCCAGCATGCACTGCAGCAGCAGCAGGTTCCAGGTTAGCGCTCACAGAGCTCAGAGTATTAAGTTAAAAGTTCTCTTTTCTGTTGCTGTTGTTCAATAAAGTACGTTTTAAGATCGCTTCGCTAACTATGTAGGGGCAGTGATATCCATGCTAACTATGTAGGGGCAGTGATAGCCATGCTAACTCTGTAGGAGCAGTGATAGCCATGCTAACTGCGTAGGAACAGTGATAGCCATGCTAACTGCGTAGGAA